TTAGTGAAAGTGAAAATTTTCTGAGTGAAATTGAAAAGATTTGAGTGAAAGCAAAAGTAATAATTTTGTGACTGAATGTGACAATTTTATGAATGAAAGTGAAAACTTTTTAGGAAAAATTAGAAATTTTTTCAGTAAAGTCAAAATTATTTTATTGAAAATGATTTTTTCAGTGAATTTGAAGTGATAATTTTCTGTGTGAAAGTCGAGGTGAAAGTAAGAATTTTTTAGGGAAAGTGAAATTTTTTGAGTGAAAATGAACTTTTTCGAGTGAAGTCAAATTTCTTTTAGTAGGACTACGAATTTTTTTAATGAATGTGAAAATTTTTTTGAATTAACTTAAAAAATTTTCACATTCCTTAAAAAAATTTCTTACTTTTATTAAAAAAATTTTCACTTTCATTATAAAAATTCTCACTTCCATTCAAAATCAAGATTTCACACTTACACTCAATATTTTCATTCAAAAAATTCTCACTATTACTCAAAGAATATTTTATATTTTACTTTTAATTTTGAAGTGAAACTGAAAATTTTTTGAATAGCAGTGAGAATTTTTGGGTGAAATAGAAAATATTTTGAATTAAATTGAGAAATTTTAACAAAAATTAAAAGTGAAAATTTTATCAATGAAATTGATGAACGCACCCCTGCTAACAGAAAGAAATTTAGTAAGCAACTTATTTGCCCTAGAAATAAATATTTTTTTTGCGTCTCAATATATTCTATATAAGGAATAAAATAAAAAAAATATTTCCCAACTATAAAAACTATTCAATTTTGCATTTAAAAGAGCCAGAGTAAATAAAAAGAGCCAAACATTAAAATAGCCTCTCTCTTCGAATATTTTTTTTCGCTTGGAAAAACTCGAAAGGAAAGAATAAAATTTTCCCTTGAAATAATTCCGTTTCCTGTGATGGAAAAAAAAGCACGGCAATACCATATGGAATGGAAGCCAAATTAATGTCAGCTGCAGAATTTTAATTTCTTTCCCAGTGAGAAACCGTAGAGAAAGAGAAAGAGAAAGAGAGAAATAGAAAGGGAGGAAAGGGCATCATATTTTTCTAAATTCTAGTTGTTTGGGCTACACGGAACCATGACCTCGTTCATTTTTATGAAATCAGGAGGAAGTTTTCCAGCAATACGTTTATACATAGATATATAAATGCAGAGGGCAGTCTAGTGATTTGGAAAGAGGGCTCTTCGAACAGAACCCAGGTATAGAGGATTTTCGTACAAAAGTACATGGAGGCATAAGCCTCCATATGATTTTTAGAAAGGGCCTTGTTTGAAACTTAACTATATATACCGAAGGGTCTCTGCTTTTCATTGTGTACAACGGTACATACCTAGAGCCAATGGGCCTTTTAGTCCTCCTCCCTCCCCCTAATGCCCCCCCTTTCCTTGCCAACTTACTATCCGACCCTGCCAAGTGCTGGTTTACGGCAGATCCCTCAAAACTCAACAACAGCTGCTGTTACTGCTGCTGCAGAAAACCGGTGTATGTTTCTACAATCATATTATTTTTTTTCCTCGTATTTATGTGCGTATATTCGTCCTGTTTACATCGTCCAAGTTCCATGATGCACTTTTTTTTTCTTATATTAAACAATTGCGGCTGTTTATGGCGCAAGTTTAAGTATATGTTATTAATTTTTAATATTTCTTTCCAAATGAGTATATTTATAGTCTGAACTTGACTTTTTCATTTTACATTAAGGGCAATGTAGTACTAACCAAATGGTTATACTAACTAACAAAACCAGTGGTTAAAAAAACAACTGGTTTTCTTAAAAATTCTTAAAATCTTTGACAAAATTAAGGGAAGTGTTGTAGTATAGATGAAAGGATCTCTAACAGAATTAATACAAAAAAATTTGCTTTAAAATATTAGTTTTCATCAAGGATTTGTAACTAACCAAATGGTTAGTTCTACTAACTAACCGAACCAGTGGTTAAAACCAACTGGTTTTCATAAAGAAAAAGTAAAATCCTATAAATCTTTGATAAAATTAAGGGAAATGTTGTAGTATAGATGAAAGGATCTCTAACAGAATTAATACAAAAAAATTTGCTTTAAAATATTAGTTTTCATCAAGGATTTGTAACTAACCAAATGGTCAGTTTTACTAACTAACCGAACCAGTGGTTAAAACTAACTGGTTTTCATAAAGAAAAAGTAAAATCCTAAATCTTTGATAAAATTAAGGGAAATGTTATTTCAAGCGTCTAGACGAAAGAATCTCTAGTATAATTAGAACAACTTAGAAAATTCAATAGATTTCTTTGCTAATTCGATTGAAAAGTTAAAAGCGGACTTAAGAAAGATGATTTTTGATGTTAACAATGACATAAATAACAATGAGAACTAATATACTAGCAGCTTAACGTCTTTAATCTGTGTTCTATTGTTACTTGTTAATTTAGTTTTAATTATAGTATTAAATTTATTGTTAAGCACATTGTACGAAAGGATCTTAATAGAATATTAAATTTAAAATGTTTTATTAATAAAAATGTTAATCATAAAAATAAATAAAAAATAAATAAAAAATAAAATAAAGAAATAATTATATCAGAGATCCTCCCGTTTATGTTTGAAATAAAACTTTTCTGAATTTTATCAAAAATTATTTTATAATTTAAAAAAAAATTTCTATTTCTATCATTAATTGAACTTTACAGATTTAAAATTGGATTTATTTGAAATATTTTTGCGAATAATTTTATTTAAAAATTCAAATAATAATGGAATTTCATGAGTTGAGCTTTTTAATTTTTATATAATAGATGAATAACTAGGAAAATTTGCTGTTTATAATTTATTATAATTAGGTATATAAATGACACCAAACTTTTATTTTCAAAAATCATTTTCAATTTTTGAATAATTTCAGATAGGATATTTGAAAAAATTCAACTTTAACAAAATTCTTTAAAATTCAATTATTTTCAAAAAAAAAAAATTAAATAAAATTCTTTGTACGAGAAACAATTATTTTCAATATACATACCATTGTAATTAAATTCCCTGTAAAAATTTGTAAGAATTCTATTATTTTCATACGCAAATAATAAAATTCAAATTCATAAAATTATTTTCAGTATATAATTTTAATAAAATTTCTCGAAAGAATTCAATTAGAAAAATTTAATTTTTTTCAATAAATTATTTTAATTGAATTTCTACTCAAAAGAAATTAATTATTTTCACGAAATTTCCATAAAATTTTTCAATACAAAATTGAATTATTTTAATAACATTCTAATAAAATTCTAAGCAAAAATTAAATTATTTTTAATTCAAAATTATAAAAAGTTACAGAAATTACAAAAATTGGTATAAAAATTAATATAAAATGTTGTAAAATTGTTATATTTTAAAATATAAAACATTTCACATATATAAAATAGTGAAAAATAAATAAATTTATATGAATTTATTTTATGCTATAATATTAACACAAAACTTATTCTCTGAATTTGAATTAGTAAATATATGAACTGATTAGAATAAAGGTGGTACTAAATTTCTAAAAATTAATTTTTTAATTCTAAATAAAACAAGATATTAAAATAAATAAAAAATTCTGTTTTTCTTAAAAAATAAATTTCAAAAAAGTTTATTTTGCATTATTATCTGAATAAGCTAGCTTTTTGAAACATTTTTTTGAAATTGGTTACATTTTTAAATATATACATTTAATTGAAAATATTTCAAATTATTCGAAATTTCATGTAATTGTCTTGTAAACAAGTGGATTTTTAGAAATATTTTAGGTAAACTTTTTAAATATAATAAAAAATTTTGAGGAACTTTCTAATAAAATATTAAAAATAATTGAATTAGAAAAGAATTGTCTTGTAAACAAGTGGATTTTGGAAAAATTTTACTTTTAGGCGACTTTCTTTGAAATAATTGAATTTTTGAGAAATTTTCTAAAATAATATTGAAAATAATTGAACTAGAGAAGAATTATCTTGTAAACCAAGTGGATTTTTAGAAATATTTTAGGTAAACTTCTTGGAAATAATTGAATTTTTAAGGAATTTTCTTAAAAAATATTAAAAATAATTCAGGGTGCCGATCGAAGAACCGGTTATAATTATTTTTGTCAAACAAATAAAAAATTAAAAAGTTTCTCCAAAAATTATGATTTTAAAATTATAATTTTTGAAGGGACTTTTTTGTAATTTTTATACAAATACGAAATGCTTAAAAGAAATTAAAATTTTACATCCTTTTTTATTTTAGAAGCGAAGCATTTTGATCATTAAAAAATTATATCCGACTCTTCGATTGGAATCCTCAATTATTTTTAATATTTTTTGAGAAAGTTCCTTAAAAATTCAATTATTTCAAGGAACTTTCGCAAAAAATATTAAAAATAATAGAATTTGCGAAGAAGTGTTTTATTGTAAAGGAGTGGATTTTAGAAAAATTTAAATTTTATGCCACCTTTTTTGAAAGAATTTAATTTTTAAGGAACTTTCTCAATAAATATTAAAAAGTATTGAATTAGAGAAGAAATTTAGTTAAATTTTCCTATAGAAAATAATGGATTTAAAATCTTGTAAATAATTTTTGTGAGTTTTTCTTTATGACCAAGAATTTTTTTAATCAAAAAAGCGGTCACCCTGAATATTATTCACAGTATCAATAATCAAAATATTGCTTATATTTTTTAATGAAAAAATTTTTTCTGCACATATCAAATTGAGACAAAAAACGAATCAAAATTGTTGCGAAGCAACGTTTTGATTTGTTTTTTGTCTCAATTTGATATCTGCAGAAAAACTGTAATTTTATTCGTACTTTTAATTATATTTTATGAATTTTTATTTTCTCATCACATGAGAAGGTATTAATTTTGGATGAATTTTGACTTTTGCTAATTTGTTTCTTTATTTTTTTGAGAATGAATTTTTACATTCTCATCACATGAGAAGTTGAAATTTGACTTTTGCTAATTCTTTTCTTCATTTTTTTTTTGTTGCAGACAATCATTCCAGTCAATATCAATGCTACGCAGTCTGTGATAAAGAGTTGTTTTTTTTTTAAGGAGGGAGATTGAATAGGAGGTGAGGGTTTGCTGGTTGAAAAACCAGCAATTTGTCATTATCCTGTCGGGCGACATAGGTACACATTTTTTGAGGATGCTGATGCCTGGAGCAGCAGGTCTCAGTGCCGTAGGTGCTGTGGGTGCACCAGCTCCTGAGGATTTGGTCACTGGTTTGGGTGCCTTGGCTGGAACGACACCACAACAAAAGGATACCACGTGGACAAAATTATTTGTCGGTGGTTTGCCATATCACACAACAGACAAAAGTCTCAGGGAACATTTTAATGTTTATGGCGATATTGAGGAGGCCGTTGTTATCACAGACAGACAAACCGGTAAAAGCAGAGGTTATGGTTTCGTAAGTATTCTTTTTCCAATTTCTTTTATTTAGTTTCTTATTTACACAGTTTTTCTTCAGATATCAAAATTGGGACAAAAAATGAATCAAAAGTGTCGCCTCGCAACACTTTTGATTTTTTTTTTTTTGTCTCAATTTAATATCCTAAAGTCAAAACGTTGTTTCGTAATATTTTTGATTTATTTTTTTGTTTTAATTTAATAGAAAAACTGTGTTAAAATATATTATTATAAATAATAATATTTAGTTAATTATCATTTAATTACTTTGCCCATTTCCCTTTTTTTTGTCCATTTTGAGTAACTTTTGTGAAAAAACGATTAAATATGGAACGAGATCGAATCCGGCCGCCATGTTGTCTAGCGTATCGATTCGGCGATCTTCGGAAATGTTCGTTCACCCTCGCCTTGTGAACTACGCCTTGTAACCGTCAATTCATGAATAACTAACGGATTTTCGTAAACAGACTAGTAATTATGATTAGCGATTAATGATATTTTCTTTCTAATTGTCACGATTCGACCTAATTAAACAACATTAAAAAAAAATTCCCTCAGGTTCGTAGATATTAACTTCATTTCTAAGTATTAAAATATTTAATTATATACTGTATTCTCATTATACATTGTAATCTAATTATAGATATAAAAAAATATATACTATATATAATTAGAAATTGAAAATATTTTTATAAAAAATAAAAATTTCATTAAAAAAAGAAAAGTAATAACTTTTGAATGAAATTGAAAATGAAAAAATTTCTTTACAACTAAAAAACTATTTTTAAACATAAAAGGAATTCGTTAATAATAACTAAGAAATTACTTTGCAATTAAAAAAAAATTCGTTTGTTAACAAAAAATTATTTTAATATTAAAATAAAGCATTAATTTATAATTAAAAAACTACTTTTAAATTAAAAAAATTTGTTTATTACTGAAATACTATTTTTAAACACAGAACAAATTCGTTTATAAATAAAAAAATATTTTTTATATTAAATGAATTCGTTTATAACTAGAAATTATTTAGTAAATAAAAATTTTACTTTCTAAAACCTATTTTTTAATTTAAAAAAAAATATTTGTTTATTACGAAAAAACTATTTTTAAGTAAAAAAAATTTTTTAAATTAAAAAAAGTTCATTATTAATAACAAAATAACTACTTTGAAATTTAAAAAATTCGTTTTTTACCAAAAAATACTTTGAAATTGAAAAGAAAATTAGTTTATAACTTTCTATTAAAAATTATTTTTAAAGTAAATGAACGTTACTTTAAAAAAAACTAGTTTTAAATTTTAAAAAAATTGTTTACCTATTACTGAAATACTGTTTTTAAATACAAAAAAAATCGTTTATAACTAAAAAACTATTTTTTTATATTAAAAAAATTTCTTTTGTATAACTAAAAATTACGTTAGTAAACAAAAATTTTATTTTCTAAAACCTAGTTTTAAATTTAAAAAAATATTTGTTTTTAACAAAAAACCTATTTTCAATTAAAAACTATTTTTAAATAAACAAAAATTTTTAAATTAAAAAAAAATGCATTATTAATAACAAAATAATTACTTTGTAATTAGAAAAATTAGTTTATTACAAAAAAAAATACTTTGAAATTAAAAAGAAAATTAATTTATAACTAAAAACTATCTTTAATTATAAAATTCGTTTATAATTTTTTATTAAAAAATTATTTTTAAAGTAAATGAACGTTACGTTAAAAAAAACTATTTTTAAATTAAAAAAAAGATTCCTTTATTACTGAAAACCTACTTTTGAATAAAAAATTACGTTTATTACCAACAAAATGTTTTTTAATATTAAAATAAATCGTTTATTGTTAAAAATTAATTTTACATTAAAGAAACGTTAATTTCTGAAAAACTATTTTTAAATTCAAAAAATGATTCGTTTATAACTAAAAAACTATTTTTAAATAAAAAAAGTCGTTTAAATAGTTAAAAAAAACTGTTTTTAAATATCGAAAAAAAATTCGTTACAACTACAAAACAAAATTCCAAAAAAATTCGTTTATAACCAAAAAAATATTTTTATAAAAATTAAAAATTTGATGAAAAAAGAAAAGTAATAACTTTTCTTTTTTTTTGATGAAATTGAACCTACAATATGTAAATATTCACTATTCGTCAGTTATCAGAAGTCCAATAAAATCGGAAATAAAAGAATGTTCATAAATCGTAGTAATGTCGATAAAATTGTCATAGTGTCTATAAAATTAATGTATCCACAAATAAGTCATATAATATTGTTTAAAACATTAAAATTTGTAGATTTCCTCCATCTCACCCCCCCTTTTTTTTAATGATCCGATAATTATTTATCATCTCTTCCTTGAATTTTTATCAAAAAAAAAAAATATATTTCCAGTCCCCAAGTTTTTCTGTTATGTATTTTTTATGTTTTTTTTTACATTTTTTCAATATAATTTTTTTTAATTGATAATTTTCGTTAATATTTTCAAGAATTTTCAAGGAATAGTAAAGTTTCAAAAAAAAAGAAAGAATTTTTATGAATTGTATCTGATTTGGTTGGGAAAAAAAGAGAAAAAAAAAGTTTGCGCGAGGTATCTAATGAAACATGCAATTATGATATTCCATTGAATGTATAAAAGACGGTTCTCTATGATAACAAAACAATTTATCACACAATAAGCTTTACTGGCTCTCACGGAGTTGTGCGGACAGATATGTAAAAAACACGTTTCGTCGACTTTCCAATGGTCTGCGCGATAACGTTAGAATGTTCTTGTAACTTTTTTTTCTTTCAAAACTTGTGTTTTTATTTATTGCCCTTAAAAAAAAATACTTTTTGCGGAAAAAATACTTTAAGCAAAAAAATACTTTTCGTAAAAAAATACTTTTCGTAAAAAAATACTTTTATACACAAATATTTTTCCCAAAAAATACTTTTCATACAAAAATACTTTTCGTAAAAAATACTTTTCGTAAAAAAAATACTTTTCATACAAAAATACTTTTCGCAAAAAAATAGTTTTCATACAAAAATACTTTTCGCAAAAAAATAGTTTTCATACAAAAATACTTTTCGTAAAAAATACTTTTCATACAAAAATATCTCTTTTTTAAAAAAATATTCTTCGTAAGAAAATTCTTTTTAAATGTGACGACATTTAAATTTTACAGTAAAAATAAAATTAAAATGTGACGTAATTTAATTTAAAATTTTTTTTTATTTTAATTTAATTTTTATTGTTTAACATAATAAAAATACATGAAATGTAACAATATTTAACGTATTTTTCATTGCATATTTAATGTATTTAAAGAAAAAAATTATGAAAACCATTTTATTGCATAATATTTTTATATATAGAACTTAATTGAATGTAAAAACTAAAAATAAAAAAAATACTTTTCAAATATGTGAAATAACTAAATTTCAGGATACGATTGATTCATCTGATTTTAGGTAATCATGGGGGATAGACCAGCGGCTGAAAGAGCTTGTAAAGACCCCAACCCCATAATTGATGGTCGTAAAGCGAACGTTAATTTGGCGATACTCGGCGCAAAACCCAGAGGAAATCTGCAAGCGAGTAAGTTAAGAGTAACTTATATATATTCTTGAAAGTTATAAGATTTCTTTCCACATACCTTCTAAATCACTTATTTTTTATTTTAAACATTAGGTAAATTTTCTTTTTCCTCCTTGACTAATGTTTTAATTTAATGCCAACTATGTTAATATTACGTATTCTAAAGAAAATTAATATTTTAAAAGAAAATAATTTTTTTCTCCAACTTTTGTTTATGACTAAAAAACTATTTTTAAAGAAAGAAAAATTAATTTATACAGAAAAAATTTCTTTACAACTAAAAAACTATTTTGAAATATAAAAAAAACCATTAATAATAACTAAGAAAATTCGTTTGTTACCAAAAAATTATATTAATATTAAAAAACAGCATTAGTTTATAATTAAAAAACTACTTTTAAGTTAAAAAAATTTGTTTATGACTAAAATACAGTTTTTAAATATAGAAAATATTCGTTTATAACTAAAAAACTATTTTTTAATATTAAAAAAATTCGTTTATAAATAAAATTTAACGTTAATAGTAAAAAAAAAACTTTACTTGTTTAAAACCTATTTTTAAAATTAAAAAAATATTTGTTTATTACTAAAAAATTATTTTTAAATAAAAAAAAATTGTTTATATAATTTAAAAAAACTGTTTTTAAATACAGAAATGATTCGTTTACAACTAAAAGACTATTTTTAAATTTAAAAGAAATTCATTATTAACATAAATTAAATAAATAAAACATAAATTAACATAAAGAAAGTACTTTGAAATTTAAAAAATTCGTTTTTTACCAAAAAATACTTTGAAATTAAAAAGAAAATTAGTTTATAACAAAAAAACTCTTTATTTGAAACAAAAATTCGTTTATAACTTTTTACTAAAAAAATATTTCTAAATTAAATAAATTCATTTACGACTAAAATTTTTAAATAAACAAAAAAAAAAATTCGTTTATTATCAACAAAATATTTTTTAATATTAAAATAAATCGTTTATAGTTAAAAATTATTTTTACATTAAAGAAACGTTAATTTTTGAAAATCTAATTTTTAATTCAACAAATGATTCGTTTATAACTAAAAAACTATTTTTAAATAAAAAATTATATAATTTAAAAACTTTTTTTAAATATAGAAAAAAAAGAAATAAAAAATTCGTTACAAATACAAAACTATTTTTAAATATAAAAAAAGTAATGACAAAAGAACTAGGTACTTTGAAATTCCAAAAAATTCGTTTATAACCAAAAAAATATTTAAAAATAAAAAAAGTAGTTTTTGTAACTAAAAAAGTATTTTTAAATAAAAAAAAAATTAGTTTAAGTTTAAAATCACTGGCTTTAAATACTGAAAAAATTCGTTTCCAACTAAAAACCTATTTTCGAATATAAAAAAGAAAAATTCGTCTTCCACTAAAAACTATTTTAAATACAGAAGAAAAATAATAAATTGCATAAAGCTTTTCAGGACACGTGTATAAAAATTGTTTGCCATACATTTTTTTCTCGCTCCGTTTTTCAATATCCAAAAGTCACGTGTGCTTGATTTAAAATAGGAAAAAAAGGTCTATTGATTTTTTGTCCATGACCTGTATTATATATAATAGTACCTGTGTAATTTTTCTATATATATAGAGAGAGAGAGAGAGAAAACCAGAAAAACCATAGAAAAAGAATTTTTTTATTTTATTGCAGCTGTTTATACATCCCGTATGTATGCATTTTTATATTTGACGTTACATGACAACTGTCAGCATTTTTTTTTTTTTAATGTTCTCTTCTAGAATAGTTAATTTGGGTGGAAAAAAAGTAAAAATCATCCACTCGAATGGAAACCCTGTAATCGTGTTACGTATTGCAGTATAAAACAAAATCGATTATTTGCGCCATGAATTTTTTAAAAGACCCCAATATATTGCGTGCATTCAGGAAAAATACACCACATATGATGAGCCAAGTAAAGTGGTCACTTTTGACAAGCGTAGAGAATAAACAATAATTAAGAAACGAGAAGGATTTATGTGTATTTGCATTTATTGTCAATTTATTTTCTTTAGTCCCTATTTTTCCAGTGTTTCAAAAAGAAAATTCTTTTTCTCTTTTGTAATATGAATTAAAAAAAATACTATTGAAAATATTTTTCTACAGACTACAGAAAATACTTTTTATAGAATTATTTTAATAAAATATTCCTTCAAAATATTTTAAAAAAATAGAAAATATTTTTGTATAGAAAAATTTTTTTATAGAATTATATTCCAGAGGAAATATTTTTTATAGAATTATTTCTAGCGGAAAATATTTTTTATAGAATTATTTTTTAAAGGAAAGATTTTTTATAGAATTGTTTTCTAAAAAAATATTTTTTATAGAATTATTTTCAACAGGAAATATTTTTTTACAGAATAATTATGTTCTATATAACAAAAATGAATATTTAAAAATATTTTCAGAATTTTTATTAGAACACTAGTAAAAAAAATTCTTCTCTGTATTTTGGTTCTCGAACATTGTTTTCGATGACGCAAAAATAAAAACTATTAAATTCGAATAAAATTGAAACTTTGCCAGAGGATAATTTGCGAAAAAAGATTTCTGAATTTCATTCTTCGATGCGACTATAATAATAAACATTTCTCGATGAGATTCAAAAAGTTTCGATATTTTATAAACAGACATTATAATTTAGAAAGTAATTAAGATTAAGTTCACTCTCATTATTTGGTAATTGGTAAATTGAAAAAAAAAAATTTTTTTTCCAACAATGAGGTAACTGTGTGTTTGACTTTCACTCTAATGATACTTCTTTAATATAAGAATAAGTTTTTATAATATACATCAGCTTTTACTGTCATCCACCTACAATAATTCAACTCGATCTAATATTATCGTAATTTCTACTTGCAACTGTCGTCGAACAATTCAATAATTTGAATTAAATAGAATTGAACAGAGAATAAAAAATAAAAAATGAATCATTACGATCCTTTTTATTCACTACGAAAACAAAAAGTATTTTTGTTTTAAAAAATACTTTTTAAATTTATTTCTGTATTTAAAAAAAAAATTTTTGAAATAGAATTTTCAATGAAATAGAATTGAACAGAGAATAGAAAATAAAAAAGAATCATTACGATCCTTTTTTTTACTACGAGAAAAAAATTATTTTATTTCAAAAAGTATTTTTGTATTAAAAATACTTTTTGAAAATTATTTCTGCATTTTAAAAATTTTTTTTAAAAATAATTTCTGTATTTTATACTGAAAAATTTCTTTCTCCCAAAGGATAATTCGATTAGAAATAAATTGAATGCTTTGGAGACTTGAAAGAGCAAAGGACGAAGTGCAAATGGCGCAAAGTGTCAAAAAAAAAGAAAAAAAAATTTAGACGACAGCTTTTGCAATGTGCATTTGAGAAGATAGCACTTCCACCACACTGAGTCACTCAACTGCTTTATTTTCTCTCTCTTTCTAATATGGCATTCAGCCAACATAACTCGAGGTTTTTCTTCTTTACGCCCTTAGTCTAAAATTGCCTTAAGACCAGTGAGTGCTGAGAAATTGTTTTTCTTGTTTTGTCACAAATTATTCACTGGTCGCGACAGCCGACTCTTCTTGTCTCCAAAACTTGATTCTCTGTTTCGACAAATGTTTATTTTAGTTTCAAATAACAGAGAGCTTTCAAATGTCTACTTTAGAGCATGGCCAAAGAATTCTTGAAGAGAGTAACTCACGGGCAATGAGTAAAAAAAATACTGGAAAAAGAGAAATTCTCTTATTTTTAGCCACGTAGAATTTTGCTTTTGTAATGAGTCTGAAAAAGGAATATTGTTTTTATTTTTTTTTATTTGATTTATTAATTTATTATTTGATATTGATTTGATTTTTTACGTTCGAGAATTCGTTTTCGAATTAACTGCAGATTTTAATTAATTATTGAGTATTTTACTAGAGAGGTGATTTTTAAGAGAGAAGCGGCCCCCCACTCCTTCGCTAACTCTCCTTGACGCTGTAGTGCGAGCGAAAGAGAGAAACTGAAATATCTTTCTCGCTCTCACTGCCCCCACTCCGCGCTACTTTCCCTGGCGCTGTAGTGGGGACAGTGGAACGTAGCGACAGAGAAAAACTATCTCTCTCGCATTCGGTCCCTTCTCTTCAATCAAAAGTTTACTATACGGTCTACAAATATTAAAATGCCCAGAATTTTTTTTACCAAAAAAAAAAAAATTTTAATCTTATGACAATTATTAGTCAGTATTTCAATATAAATGTATTTTTTTTCTTTCCAGCATTCCCATTCGCTACAGGTATTCGCGCTGGATATCCCACAGTCATTCCCAGTCAGTATGGGTGAGTAATTATTTTAAAACTTTTTTTCGAAATTAATTTTGTTATGATAATTATCTACACAAGTGCAATGTGTTCTATCACTGCAATTATACTCTCAGTCGAATTACGTTCCCCCTCTTAAATTCTTTCTTTAAAAACCACGTCCCTTTAGAATATAAAACTAGTAACTTTAACAAAAGGAAAATTAATAATAATTTCAGGGCTCGAAGCAGTGAAAGTATTTGAAAATACAGACTTTACGGACCAAAAATTAAAAATCACGGACCATTTACGGACCAACTGACAAAAATAGAATCAGGCCAAATCAAATTCTTTATATCGATAATTTTTAATAATTTTCGAAAAGTTCTTTGACAATTTCCAAATTCATTTCTTTACAATATTCAATTTTACGAAATTTCAATTATTCGTAAATTCTTCAAATTAAATAAATATTAGAAAATATAAACTAAAAATAATATTAAAAAAACTCAATTAAACTTTTTCGAAAAAATTAATTACAAAATTCAATTATTTTTTAAAATTCACGCTATATTGCTTTTAATATTCAATTATAATCTAAAATTTTAACTGAAATTCATTTTTATGAAATGAAAATCAATTTTTATTAGAAAATTCTACTAGAATTCAATTATTTAAATACAAATAAAATGCAGATAAATAATTTATTGAATAATTGAACTTCTCTTAAAATTCAATTTCCATAAAAAATCGTTATCAACAAATTTTCAAATAATTGAATTCTATCAACGAATTTTAAAAAAAAATTTTTTTTAAGAATAATTACATTTTTCGACAAAATTCGATTAAAATTGTATTAAAAATAAATAAAATAATTGAAATTCTGCATTGAATTTTATTATTTATGAAAATAATTGAATTGTTGCGATGAATTATATTAAAATTTTCAAAAATAATTAAATTCTTGAAAAAAATTAACAGGAATTCAATTATTTTTAAAAATTTTAATAAAATTCTTGGCATAAATTAAAAAAAAAACAATATTCTTAGCAGGTCTTCAATTACTTTCAGAAATTTTAATAAAATTTTTCGCAAGAATTTAAATATTTCCGTAAAATAATAAAAATCTTTGCAGAGATTCAATTATTTTCAAGTCTTAATAAAATTCTTCGCAAGAATTCAATTATTTTCAAAAATATAAAAATGTTAGTAGAAGTTCAAACATTTTAAAAAGTTTTGATAAAACTTTGTTTTGGTAGAAATTCAATTATTTTTAAGACTATTTTAAAAAAATGTCTCGATAAAATTCAATTATTTTTAAAATTTTAATGAAATTCTTCGAAAAAAATCAATTATTATAATCTAAGATTTTAACTGAAATCTATTTTTAAATCAATGTTTATGAAAAAATTCTACCAGAATTCAATTATTTAAATACAAAAATAAATAATTTATTGAATAATTGAATGTTTCTTGGAATTCAATTCCTATTATTTAATCGACAAATTTTTAAATAATTAAATTCTTTGGACGAATTTTAATAAAATTTTTAAGAATTTTTTCGAGGAATTCGATTAAAATTCTATTGAAAATAATTGAATTCTCCTAAAAAGAATTTTATTACTTTTGAAAATAATTGAAATTTTGCAATGGATTTTATTAAAATAATTGAATTTTATATTACTTTAGAAAATAATTGAATTCGTGTGATAAATATTGCTAATTATGAAAATAATTGAAATTTTTTAATGAATTTTATTAAAATTTTTGAAAATAATTGAATTTTGTCGAAAAATTTTGCTATTTATTTATAAAGATAATTGAAATGTTGACAATGTTTGTTAGATTTTTTGAAAATAATTGAATTTCTACGAAGAATTTTATTACTTTTGATAATAATTGAAATTTTGCAATGGATTTTATTAAAATTTTTGAAAATAATTGAATTTTATTACTTTAGAAAATAATTGAATTCGTGTGATAAATATATTGTTAATTATGAAAATAATTGAAATTTTTTAATGAATTTTCTTAAAATTTTTGAAAACAATTGAATTTTGTCGAAGAATTTTGCTATTTATTTATAAAGATAATTGAAATGTTGTTCAGATTTTTTGAAAATAATTGAATTTCAGAGAAGAATTTTAATATTTCTAATGATAATCGAAATTTTGACGAGAATTTAAAACAATTTTTGAACATAATTGAATTTTTGCGAAGAATTTTATTACTTTTAAAAATAATTGGCTTTCTGCAATCATTTGTAATTTCTCTAAAATTCTCAAAATTATATCGTACAATTTACGAACTTTTCATCCTTTTTGAATAAAATTACGGACTTTACGGACCTTTTTTTTTAAAAAACGGACTTTTACGGACTTGAAGCAAAGTTACGGACTTTTTCAGGATTTACGGACCTACTTCGAGCCCTGTAAATTAAAGTCTTAAAATTTGCAATTTTTGTTAAAATACAAAAAATTATCAAATAATTATTTTTTTAACTTGTTTCTTAATGAATAATGAATCAAAAATTTTATTTTACGCATATCATTTTCATTTATACTTATTATTCTTTTCAAATATTTTTTTATTTATTTTTTTTATTTTTTATTTATTTATTTTCCTCGAATTTTTGATTTTTTTCGCCTCGAGTTTGTTTACTAATACACTACCATCGGAAATTTATTTATATCCTCTAGTTTCTTCTTCAAAAATAAAATTTTTCTTCAGAAAAAAAAACGAAATTTCCGACGGTAGGAATTTTTTCGCACTTTAAAAAAAAGGGACGCGATATCGAAGGCAGTGATCCCAAGGAAAATTATAACCACTTTTTTATTTTAATAATAAAATTTATTACTTTTGAAAAAATGGATCCCTATGGAGAGAGTTAATGACAAAAAAAGAGATAAAATTTTTCTGTTAAAATATCGACAATGACGTTTCAGCATCGCGGGTTCTTGAAGGAGTCACAATTCTTAGATCGGAATTAAACAGAGTCCAAAAACAAGAAACAGGGAATGAGAGAGACACTCAATAAAACAAAAAGAGAATAAAAATCAAAAAGAATGAAAATCCTGTGAAAAAAGAAAGGGCTCGCGGCACACGCACACGTAAAACGATGCCATCCAAGTACCTACGTGCGAATTATCTCTTACTCGGTACTGAGCTGATCTTTTTTTAGATGATCGATTTTTTTTTTGGTTGTGTTTTTTTGTTTCTTCTTTTCTTGATGAAGTTGACGTGAAGTGATGATTTTGCGGTTGTTGAAAGAATTTTTTTTTTTTGGAATTGTTTGTTTACTAGTTTTTTTATTTTTGTTTATTTCTTGATCTTTACCTCCTTTTTTTCGCACTCTTTCTTTAATCAGCATTATTAAATATATTAATAATTGATTAATCTGATTAATATTTAGCAGAGAAAAAGAAAAATGAGGTCGATTTTAATTTTTTTTTTTTGGTGCTTAAAAGTCCGGGGTAATTGAAATTTCAAAATTTGTTCTTATCGAGGCGTGAGGGTCTTTTTCTTGTTTTAAATGTATTTTTTTTCGTTTTTAAAGAAAGAAAATAGTGTCAGGATTTTAAAAGTTGTTTTAAAGTACAAGAGCTGTTCGGCCGCCAGTGGAGAGTGGGAGTAGTCCCCCCTCTCTTCACTACCGGCGCGCGCAGTCTCTCAATGCAAAAAGTCTATTCTAAATATTTTAACGACACTATTCTTTTTCTTTATTTTATTTTTCTACATTTTCTTTTCATTTTTATTTTTTTAACTCGTTTTTTCATTACTCTTTTTTCATTACATTTCTCTATTACTTTTTTTTATTAATTTCAATTTTATTTCATACTTTATGTTATTCTTTATCAATTTTGTACCAGAAATATTTATTTCTCAAGTTAATTAATTTATTCAACGAATATTTTTCTTTATAATTTAACTTTTTAAACTAAAAAACATTTTTTCTAGTTTTGCACTATTTTTCTTTTTTTCCATTCTATTTTCACTTCTATTATCACACATAGTCTGCTTCGATGAGTAGTATTTTTTTCAATGGGTTTCTTTTTTAAAAGTATATTTTGTAGGTTTTGCTTTTGGTAGCGGGTCTTAAACATTTTTCCATGAAATGTTATATCTGGGAAATTTCGTCGAAACCGACCTGTCCGTTCAAATAAGGAAATCTATCAATATTTTATTTGCCACAATTCCGTCGGGTTAAATCGATATATCCTGCTTATAATTTATTTTTTTCCAAATTGCATGAACAAAAGCATTGATACAAAAGCAGTAGAGAAAAGAAAAATTATTCTTTTTATTATTTCTTTCATTGTCATTCATTATTTCCAAAATTAATGATTTTCTTTTCATTTTGTCAATTTAAAAACCCTTGTTCATTAAATTAAAAAAACCTAATTGAAAAAACCTTGGAAAAAAAACTTTATAAATAAAAAAAGCTGCTTTATAAAAGTAAAAAGAGATTATTTAAAAAAAAAATTCCTACAAATTCGTAATTAAATTAAAAAAATATCGAAATAGCGATTTCGTACGGTTAGAAAAACTAGGCTCGCTAACAATATTTTATAAATAACCTTGTGTGTGGTGAAGGCTTACACTACACTTGGTGTCGCTATTGGTGTTGTATTTTTTGGTGTTGTAAGTGATTCTTGTTTTTACAAATTATTATTCTAATAACAAACATAGCTCCATGAGTGCGGGAGGAATATAAAATATTCGTTAAAATTTCAGAGAGAAAGAGAAAAGGTTAGTTTCGAGTGTAATTTATAAAAAAAAACGTTTAAGAAAGAAAAAAACTATTATCTGTTGGAGTATTTTAACAGTTTTTGTAGTTTTTACATTTTTAACAGAGTTTTTTTTTTTTTGTTTAAAGGGAGTTTTATTTTTTCAAAGGAAGTGAATATCTATTCATAAAAAAGTTTTCTATGCATGTTTCACATTATTTTTTTCATTCATTTTTATATTAACAATTTATTTCATAAATTTTCTTTTTGAATATTCATGAGCGCGCACGCTGAAAAAGTGGTGGGGGAAGC